AAATCTGTTAATCTGTATTACGAATAATGACCGGAAACTGCTTATAGGAAGTTAAAAAGGGCAAAATCTGAATGCTAACTAGTGCCAGAGAAATATGTAACTTTAAATCTGTGCTGTTGTGTCATATAGGTTACTCACAGACCAAGACTGTTGAGGTTCAGCAGAGATCCTCCTCTGTGGCAACACAACAGACCACTGTTTCTTCTGTCCCCTCGCATCCTTCAACCACTGGAGTAAGTACTGAGAGACCACTGCCAATTTCAATATCATATTAGTATAATATGCTAATATCGTATGTGTATGCATGTGCTCTACATACAATATCTTAGTCCAAATAGTAACGGCATATTCACTGTTTATTTGATGGTAAAGTTGGTTGTTTAATATTGTTTTCTTTGTCTTCAACAGAAAACCGTCCGTGCCATGTATGACTACTCTGCTGCAGACAATGATGAGGTGTCCTTCAAGGACGGTGACGTCATTGTGAACGTGCAGGCCATCGATGAGGGTTGGATGTATGGCACTGTGCAGCGTACTGGAAAGACCGGTATGCTGCCCGCCAACTATGTGGAAGCCATCTGAATACAACTACTGTCCTCTCAAACACCCTGTGGATGAGGGAGTTTGATATTCACTCAAGACGGGAAAAAAACGATTTAATGTGTACTAATGTTAGTCAAAGTAGTTATGCTGCCGTTTGTCCTCATTACTATTACTACATGTGCCCATGTCACAAAGTCTATTGTGGTTGTGGCATGAGAAACTGACAAATTATACATATTTAAGTCACAGACAATTGTATTTATCTTTGTTGTTCTATTCTAGCAGTTAAGTAACCATTATTTTTTGTATATTGCAATCACACTCCATTCAAAGAAGTTTTAACGTTGAAACATTTGCAGAACGAGAGATGGGCTCATGGTTCACTATACGTGAAAAGGAAAACCAGAAATTCTGTGTTTTATAAAAACTGAACAGAGGCACTAAGGTTGCCACATGAAAATGAAAAAGGAAAAAAAAAAACTTGAAAATGTCGAGGACAGGCCACCAGTTCCTCTAAAGTGAAAATGCCTTGATGTTAAAAACAAGCCTCCTCCCTCGCTGAAGGCTGGCCATTATTTGCATGTTTTGTTTCTTTGATTCTGTAGGTGTGGGGTTTGAGGAAGGTGTATACCTTGAATCAGTAGCTAATAAAGCACACCACGCTTTCTGCAGTCAATCTGTTTTGTCATGGATTTGAAGTTTGTTTTCTTAATTGATCAATAAAGGGTTGAAGTTTCTTAATGAGACAATTCACCCAAAAATGAAAATTTTGACATTTACTCACCCTCATATCATTCCAAACCTCCGACTTTCATCTTTCAAACAAAATCATTTTTATCTGTCCATCGAGTCACCTTGACCAAAAACATCAAGACTTAAGGAAATATAAAAATACAATAGAAGTCAATGAAGCATTAAACACATTTAGGCTTCCGTTTATCATATCTGAAACACTCGGTGTGCATCGAGTTGTCGCTTATATATGAATAAAAGCCTGAATTAAATATTTATCACAAAGCGATCATGTCTCTTCAGAAGACTTTTTAAACAACTCAATTCATGTGGATTACTTTTACAATGCCTTTTTGTATTTTTTTTTAAACAATTTTTTCATTTTAATAAATACAATTTAAATTTTGCACACTTTAATGCCCTTTGAATGGAACATTTACACTCCCTTCGAACTGGAATCATGGTGGACTATCCTGTGATGTCCACTTCGCAGGGCACTTACAGTTGAATAGAACAAACGTTTGAAGTGGTAAGAGAAACATACAAAATGTGCAGAGCGGTGGTATGTGAGGACTGGAATTGAGAACCACTGAACTAATACATTTAATGTTAACAAATGTTAATAAAACCTTAAAAACATTGTAAAGTGTTCATCTTTTGCAGCAACAAAAAAAGCCATCTTTGTATTTGTAATTTGGTGGTTTCTTCAAAGATCCATTGAAAAAAAAAGCCCCAAACAACAAAGAAAACAGGGATAAATGAAATCATTAATACTATAACTTTATTAAAAAAAAAAGGTTTCCTTGGCATCTCAGCACAATTTTACAGTCTTAAAAAGCACTCCATAAAATACACCGACACTTAAGTAGCAATGGAAAGTCTATTCTCTGAAGGAGCATAATTAGAAATTCATCTACTCTAAAATTCAAGCTAAAACTTGAGAAATGAGCAGTCCAGTTTATCTTCAAGTTAAAAGTGAATTCTGATATCAGGAAAATGTCTCAATGTCCTCATGGCAAGCTATCATCAAGATTACTCAGCAAGCGGGACTGCATATGGGTCACAATGCTTCTCATCATTCCACTCAGATGTTCGTGCATCAGGCCCAGTTGGTTGGGTGAACAGCGACCAAGTTCCTCTGAAGTTAGGCATCCACTAAGGGCTACAACATCTGATAGCAAATCACAAGATTTGTTCTCCTCAGCCATCAGTCCTGAATCTACACTCACCTCTGATGGCTTGTCATCTGCAAAAAGTTGGGAGTCACGAGTTATGCCGAATGTGTCACCAATGATGGATTTGACACAAAAAATAAAAAATAGCTTACCTTGAGCCTCTCCTGGTGTTTGCTCCTCATCTTGGTTTTGAGGAAGCTCCATCTCTTCAGGCTCAGATGTCATTTTCTCCATTTCGTCAAAACTCTTCAGGTCATCCGAACGCCCTTTTCTCTGTATGGCCAAATGTGAAGTGTAAGAATGATCTCCCATAATAAAGGCGAAGATACTAATGTAAAGACGATGCACAATACCTGTTGGTCATGATAGGTTTTAAGTGCTTTCCTCACATTGGACAGCTTAGGTGAACGAATAGGAAGAGACTTGATTTCACTTGGGGTAAGGGCACTCAGGTCTCCAACCGTTTTAATGTTTCTAGCTCTAACGAGCTGACCAAAGCCACGAGGCCTAAATACACAACGGAATAAAAATGCATACCAATTAATTACATTCTTAACATTAACACCCCAGAAAACAACTTTCAGATCTGTGTTGAAATCAATTTATGAGAAGAAATAACTTGTACGGTTTGGGTGAAGAAGAAATGGTATGTGTGTGCTACCATTGAGAGATCTCAGCTGCACCATTCAATCAATACTTAAATGTATTTGGAGTTCACAAGGTCAGAACATTTTCAGAGGATTTAAATTAAAACGGAGGAATGAATTTAATGAACTGAACCCAAGCTGTACTGCAGGGGAAATGGGTGATCTGGCTTACCACATGTTGGAGGATATCTGTGGTAACACAGCCTCTATAGGGGTAGAGCAGCCAACGAGTGCTGGATAAACACAATCTTTAGCAATAGGACGTGGCTCCTGGCTCATTTCGGAAATCTATGATGTATAAAGAGGAACATTTTAACACCATTTCCACTTGGAGCTACTGTTCAAATAAACTAAAGTCTGATGAAACTGAATAACATGAATAGTATTAAACATTAACAACTTTAGCAGTCTTAAAGCAGCACTATGTAACTTTCTCGGAGCAAAATTAGCAAAATGTATATAATGAGCGAGTACATCATGAATTCATCTTCCAAACCGCGTTTTTGTCTTATTCCGAATCACTACGGTACACTTATAATAAGTACTTATATTTGGACTATTGTAGCCTGGTCGGGTCGTCACCGCTGCGGAGTAACACATACCTGCGTGAATCGCCATAGACAAACTTATGGTGCTTTTCCACTGCGTGGTATGACTCGGCGTGGCACGGCACGGCACGGCTCGGTTTGGGTTTACACGTCACGTTTTGGTAAAGGTACGGTTCGCTTGGAACCTCAACCGAGGTGGTACTAAAAAAAAAGTACCAGGTACAGTACCCAGTGGAAAATCCCCCAAAAGTGAACTGTACCGTGCCGTACTATGCAGTGGAAAAGCGCCATTAGAGAAGTAGCTCTGGTTGGAATGTTCTTCCGCGGGATGTGTGCAATTCTGTTTATTAACCTCTAGAGCGCCAAAAGTTACATAGTGCTGCTTTAATTTCTCAGAATTAAGAAAATAAAAAATCTTTATGAACTTATGAAACATTATTAATAGGCAGACTGCAGGAGTAATATAAACAGGATTTTTTTTTTTAGCAATTTAACTACAAGGCAAGAAAATAATTACCAGGCATTTTTTAGAGCGTTTGGATCCAGGGCTACGGAGGTTACGAGGACTTAGACTTGAATAGCCTTTTGTGGGTGTAGTGATATACTGTAATGAAATTGAAGAAATTTAACAATAACCCATGAAAAGTTGAAATTGAATCACAGTTTTATATCCAAGACGTAATAATTTAAAAACTAGTATCACACACCTTCGACTGCCCACTCAAGACTTTTGACCTAGGCGAGCTTGTGCGAATAACTGGACTACGTCGATCAATATCATCAGCCAGTTCTTGATGATAAATTGGAGTTGCAAAAGACACTCGACGAGACTGCAAAAAAAAAAAAAAAAGATATATATTGTTACACAAGGTTTTATAAAATTAGAAAATAAGCTTACATTACACTTGTTTGTTTTTAAGTCCATTGTCCTAAATATTAAAAGTATACTGTCAAATACCTTAGGAAGGGGGGAGGGTGTATCCTCTTCACATGTTCTCTTTTGTCCCTTCTTCAGAATACTGGTAGACGGAGAAGCGGATGGTGACCAGACATGAGATCGGTTTCTGCTCGGACTCTGGCCAGGCTCTAGCTCTCCGCTGAGAGCGTCCAAAGGTTTAGGCTTGGGTGGAGAATCTAAGCAGGCTTCAGATGTACTACTCTGAGGTGGCACAGACGATGACTCTTGTGCAACCACAGGAAGATCGCGGTTGTCTATCCGAGTGTCTTCATCCTTCTCGTCAAGAGCCACATCCTTGTCAAGCAATTCTTTGCCATTTGACTCTTCCGGCAACACAACCTTTTCTCCACTTGGCTCTGAAACAGCAAGGTCTTCACATTCCTTCACTGCTGGGTTAACTGCATCCTCCTGCTGGACATGGGAAGACTCTAGTTGCTCTTGGCATATAGGTGCATCTTCCACTGGGCGACCTTGACTTGGAGATGTGTCTTGAGGTGTTGAACTCTGGAGAGGTTCTTGACCTACTGAAGTGTTTTCCAATCTATCTTCTCCTTCTTTGTGCTTTTGACTACCTGCGCACCCAGAACTCCCTAACTGATTTGTCTCTGCCTCCGGGACCTCTAGATGCTCCTTGTTTGTTTTATCTGTCAGTTTGGACAATTCAAGCTGTGCTCCTTCCTGTGCTTCAGACAGCTGAGAAACAATTACACCGAGCTTTGCAATGGGACTCTCAGAAGGCAAAACCTCAGATGGGAGCGGTGCAGGCAAGGCTGAAAATGGCTGAACATCAAAATCTGAGACATCTGAAATTGCTGAGCTCTTGCTTTTCTCTGATACAGATGTTGAGCTTGACCGCTCAGGTTGAGAGTTTGGGGCATCAGAGACAAGTGGAACCTGCTCATTTTTCAGATCCTGCGATTCTTGGAAGTCACTGTCCTGTGAGAACACGTCACGGTTGTTTGAAACGCAGTTGCAGGTTCTCGATCGTCTACGCCCACGTCCCCGTCCCCTGGTATGTGGGCATTTACGCAAAATGTCAGTCTTCTGGGTTAAATCTTCCGATCCAATCTGTGAAGATGAATTCAATTCTTCGACCTCTGCCTTCTCACGAATGGTCTCCTTTTCATCTGTATCAGTTTTCAATTTCGTCTCAATTTTGGCATCTTCTGCTCCTTTTTCAGAGGTAATCTGTTCATGTGGTGCACCATCAGGGGAAGGGAGCTCTTCTTTGGTTTCACTGACTGAAATATTCAAACTGGTTTCATTATCTGCCTCATCCTGTGACATCTCTATTGAAACATCAACACCCTCCATATGTGGCACAATCTCAGTACCTTTCGGTTCTGTGGCAACTGGTAGCACCTCTGTGGATAATGGTTTCCGCAGTCTCTTTTTAGGCCTTGGTCCGTCTTCTCGGCTATCAGAGATTTCAGACTCTGTATTGTCGGTAGGACCCAACAAACCTTTAGATCTTCGAGTTCTGTATCTACCAAGACCTTCAGAGAAATCTTGGCTTGCACTTAACTCCTCAGCATTTACAATTAATGTGGCATCTCTAGTAGAGTCTGTCTCTTCTTCTGCAGCTCTCCTCCTCATAGCTCTACCCTTCACCATTG